GGTACATGTTGAAAATGAAACAGCATTTCTATTAATCCATTTTAATTAGGATTATGGAACACAATCGCTTCCATAGTGCAGGACCTGCAGATTTTTAAAGTCAACGACCAAAAAAAACGTCGTTCTCACGAAGGTAGGTGAACACAATGGACCTTGTGAGGTCTGGCTACGTAGATCTGGTGGTGTGGCAGGTGCAGTGTTGTTGACCTCTGTGATTGATTGGTGTCTCTTGGTCCGACAGGCAAATCGGGCAGTGTGCATTGTAACACACACACACTGGCCTCTTTTAAAGGGTGAAGACTGCAGTGTTGCGTTTGGTGTGTTTATGTTTGTAATTGCTGTGTCAAACATGTAATTGCTGTGTCAAACATGTGTCTGGAAATACTCTTGAAAGTGATGTTTGTTCGTCTAACAGCTGCCACCCATGCCATACGACGTCTCTTTGTAGCTCGGCAACCTGTGTTTCTCTGTGTTGTTTCCATGCCGGAAAGCAGGAAAAAAACGGACTCCATTGGCAATACGCTTCCCCCTGCGATCGTGAGAACGATTGTGACAGTTCACAACACAACAAGCATTCACCATTTCAGCGTATTTCACGTCAGATCAGAAAACTACAACTAGTCTCTACAGTCACTTCCGTATCCTAAACTACCAGAATGCATTGCGCGATCCCAGTCCGCTGACGTCACCCATCCCAAGGACAATATTGCCTTATATGTATTAGCTCGGCACTAGCGCAACAAACAAGCTAAACTGAGGTTCTCCATCCATATTTTCTGTTGCAGCTGAGTCGTTTTTGTGTTCCCCTCTCTGTCATGTGGATGGAGGACCTCAGTGACGAGAGGAGAATGTGTAGCANCGCACCGAGGACTTAGTTGATGTCATCATTTACCCAGAATGATTTGCGTGTAAATAAAATGGTCCTGTCTGTGTAAAACAACAATAAAAATGAACATCCTACAGTATTTTTACAGTCTTTATTTTACAGTTAAAGTGTATGTTTATCATATAAAATCTAATGTTACAACTAATCGGGGATCCCTTTAAGATCAGGAACCTGAATGAACAAAAGAACTTAAAAAAGTCTCCCACCCCAAATAGCAGAAACATACGATAATGTAATTTGATGTAAATGTGTGCTTTTCGCTCAGATTTTTATTGCACGTTGATGATCTTCACAAAAACAAATCATGCTTATGAGGGCAGGGTCTTGCTGCATGATCCTGGGAAAATTATTCATGTTTGCGTAGTTTAAGACAATGTAAAATTCATATGGATCATCTTTAAACTTCTGGACAAACACTGATCACAGACTAAACTAATGCAAACAAACAATTGTCACAACCGGATCTTCACTAGGAACAAGACAACAGGGTGATCTCAGGATGAAATATGGCCTGTTGAAACCTCCAGGGGGACTCAAACAAGCTGCAGCAGTGATTCAAGTAGGCCGGAGCCAAAAGTAAATATTTGCAGAAGCATCAGCTTGGAGCTCTCCTTATTTGGCCATCAAATTCATAGTTCATCCTAAAGATACAGACCAGAACAAACTGCAGCATGTTTCTTTTTTTTATGTAGAAGACCAGAAATGTTGAAAGTGATTAACTCGCTAATCCCGCTGGTCTTCTAATCACAGCCCACCATTTGCTGAGCTTGCATTTTTTATGAACAGGAATGAAAACTCCAATTTCAAGCTCATTAAAATGAAAATGACTCAAGTCTTTGACTCAGAGTGCCGAACTCTCACATTCTGTAGAGCAGCAACTCTTTGGAAACGGGAGGTATCGCTTTCACCGAAGCTCATCTTTATTCTTTTCTTACAGTTTTACATTTACTTTGTGAATTCAGACACAGAACAGAGACAGACTATAAAAAAATGTTTTCCTATCATCAAGCTGCAAATTTTGGCAAATAAAACTGTTCCTGTCCATGTTTTAAAATTCTTCTGGACTGTAAATCTGTCAACACTGAAGTGCACAACTAATTAAATCTTGAGTCTAAAAAAATGCATGTAAATGCAGTAAACCAAAACTCAATGATGTAAGCTAAATGTGAAAAAATGCAGTGTTTGCACAACAGAGTCAAAATGTTATTTATTCCTGTTCAAGTGCATGCAGCTTAGCTTGTTTTCACATCTTTTTGAATGATCTACAGGTACTGATAACCTGCCAAGAAATAAAACTTTTGAAAAATCATGCAGTGAGTCAGGATTTCACTTTTTATGTAAAACATGTTAGACACACTTGCTGGACCATCCAACCCATTCTTACTCCCGACTCATCACATATTGACACTTGTCCAGGATTCCCTTTGTGTCCAGTTTTGACACATCGAGTAATGCTGCGTTCACACCAAACGCGATTTCAGCATCAGGAGCCTCAGGTTTACATACAAAGTCTATGGTGGATGCGCTTCAATCAGTGTCAGGAAGTGCTGCGGCGCCTCAAGCACGATTAGAGCAGCGCGATTTGAACGATTTGAACGATCTGAGCGCTGAGGCGCAAATCGCTGAAGTTAGAAAATCTGAACTTTTGCAGCTCGACGCGCCGCATCAACCAATCAGAGAGACTCCACTGTGTGACGTAGTGACATATTTCCCGACGGGGCAGTTTACTGAATGATGTCCACTAACCTGAAACAGA